TTTTTATTCACTGCTTTTTGCTTTCTTTCCTTCACTTCCACCAGCACTTTCACTGGATAGAGGTCGCTTGGTAAAATATCTATCCAAAAAGATTTGGCTTTGCCTACTTTTTAAAATGTTTCTAAAATGACTTAGGCAAATGTCATTACTCTGACCAGCAATACGGCCAGTGTGAACCTTTTCAGGATGTTTCTTTTCAATAAAATCAGTCACTTTCTGATAATACCTCAAGATTTCCTTTATCGAGCGAGATCCTTCCACGACGAAGCAAACATGCAGACTGAGACCAATGAACAGAAGTTGAATAAAAAATGGCACTGCGAACTAATGTAACGTTGTATGGTGAGTTTTTGTTCGTATCGTGTAGCAAAAATATGTTGAAATTTCATGTCATATCCTGAAAATTTCGTATGCTGGGGCGTTCATATCCTGAGGTACCACTGTATATAGGTTTTTCCATACAATATGATCTCATTAAGTTGAAATTGTCAGTACTTTTAACTCAAACCTATTTTTCTGTGTATCATCTAACCTTTGATAGGTCTATTATCTTTATTTTCACTTATATTTCATGTATTTACAGACAGATAAATAAACTGTACAACTCTATGCCATTATGACCTCACATTGACATCCTATTACTGATGCTCTCATGAGCATTCTGATTGGGACACAAGGGGATGCCATAACAACACATTCAAAAGCACCATAAAATGTATACAATTTTCTAATCATTCTGTAAACATATTCTTGAGAAATAACTTGATAATGGGAAATTTATATGCAGAGAGAAATTCAGAAAATTGGATATTAATCTCTTTAACTTAACAGGGTTTTACCGTAATAAAAATTTTTTCCATATAGATCTATAAATGCTATGAAAAAATCTATAATTGTATGAAAAATTTATGTAGAATTAAGCTAATTATTAAATAATTAGAACCACAGGCCTCAGCAGCTTTTTTAAATTTACAGTTTATTTAGCTATTAAGACTTAATTTCATCATTTTTTCTGTTTTTACAGACTGTTTTACTTGAGAGTATTGAGAAACCTGGTAAAAGGTTACTTGTAGGAAACACACATCTTTACTTTCATTTAGATGCAGACCATATTCGCCTGGTGCAAGCAACAATTTGTTTTAAATATTTAGAACATCTACTGAAAAAACATGCTGAAGAAGTTAGTAATTATTATCTATTTTTGTAATTTTTAAATCTATATTTTATAATGTGCTTTCGCACCGGTTACTGGTTAATTGTAGATAGTTGGACTATATTTTATACTAAATTTGTGTTCTCATGTACATAAATTTACACTTACAGCATAAAATTATAGCATTACTGTTGTAAATAAGATATTTTACATAATACAATATGTATATACCTCCTATTCTGAGCAGTGTTAACCATTAACAACCATTGATGACTTGTACCAGCCATAACCATACATGAATAATTCAGCTAGAACATGTTACATCAGTTCAAGATACTCTGTTCAGTTGTATGCACTAAAACAATTGGCTGATGGATTTTGATTGATAATTGGCTAACTCTGCTTTGCTATTTATGAATATGAAATAAAATTCTCTTACTTTTTAATGAGACAGGAAACATGAGTAATGTATGGAAATTGTATGCAAGAAAACATCTCTTTTCAGTTTGCACTGTGAAATATGAAAAAAACGTAATATTCAGTAGTTAAATTTAGCTTTCTGAAGATACAGAAAACTATTTTATTCAGTTATTAATAATTTATTACAAAATATTTTTTAATATGCAATTAAATATGACAAATCCTTTGATAGAATGCATGCGAGACACCAGCTCTTATATTCTGTGGTGATTTTAACAGTTGTCCAGAATTTGGAGTTAATGAATTAGCAACAAAAGGCAAAGTTTCTGCAGAATCAGCAGATTGGCATAGTAGTAAGTATTTTAAATTTTCCTTCAGTTAATCCTTAGGTTTAAATGGGAATTTCTATTCTCAACCACTTAAAAATTATAAAACTGAATTAAAAACCTTTTACAGTTAAAAATTGGATATATTCCAGTATGCATCAAGCAGCACACAAGTGAACTGCAATGTACTAAAATGTTCATTTGTTGTGAAACCATGTTGTACTAGATTTTCTTTAGAAGTGTTGAACACAAGATCGTGTTATTAACAAATCACATAGCTTCTTTTCCACCTTTATTTAGTTGATACGGTATTATTTACACTTCTTGTGTTCAAAACTTCTAAAGTACTAAAAATGTGTTCCAATATTCACTGATGAGTTATTGGTGCAGCGACTAATGCATGTCACACTCATTGGGCTGTGGATATAGAGAGATATGATGAAGCTATATTACTACCTCCATGCTTATATTATTAGCACCCTTTTTACTACTTATCTGTTTCAGTGGTGCGCTGTCCATGGAAGCTGTGGAAATGCCATTTCCCTTGTGTTTTCTAAAATATAAATAAATACATATTGTGCGATTATTTTCATATTTTAACATACTTTGAATTAATTAAAATTAATGTTTTATTATATATTATAACCGCATTTTGTATCTTGTTACAAATTTCTATACTATATGTGAAAAACAGTGATAAGGTTTCTGTTGTATATTTGAATATAAATTCGTGTATGCATATTCTTGATGGAAGCACTGTATTGTTGAATATGGGACAGCTTCCATGGCAAAAATATTTGAATTGTATAAAACAGCCAGATTACAGGCATTTGCACATGCACTTTACAGAGCACCAACCTCACACGGTTTAGCTTGTGGATGCCACATACTCAAATATCATATAGTAATACCTTGACTTACGCGAACTTGGAGTTACGCGATTTTCAAATCTCGTCGATTTGTCTTTTGTTTGAGCGCCACGCAACCCTTGATTACTCACTCTCCCTATACTATTGTTCAGCTTACATGTTCGGATGTGTTGGGCGGAATCGACACATAGCTACAATTTATTTTGTGTTATTTATTTCTGTGTTTGTTATATCTATGGAGACTTGAGAGACTATATGGTGATTTCTTGTAACCGTGAACGAATCAATAGACGAAATAAGATTAACGAGAACATTTATTAGCTTATATATAATCCGACTTGGATTTTACACAAATTGCGAAATTATACCCCGACTTACGCGAATTAGACTTACGCGGTTATCACTCGGTCCCACCTATCGCGTAAGTTCAGGGTATTACTGTATAATAATTCTATCCAGGGCTGGCACAGCTTCCCTATCATCAAATGTCACCGCACACCACTGATCTGTTTTAATCCAAAGCTGTTTTGACAAAATATATCTACAAATATTAATATAGTGCTGTTTGATTCTGTCTGCTTGTCAGGTTGCCAGACATTCCAGTGAGAGTTTGCTAAACAATTCACTTGTGTATCTGTTATGGCTGAGGCTGATGGCATACTGGAATGTACCCATTGTTGTTAGTATGTTAAATGTGATAATTGTTGAAATGAAGACCCTCCATATATGTGGATATTAAATGTACTCAGCATAATATAGCACTCAACATTATTGTTATTATATGAAATTTGCAGGACACACTAAGTTACTATTAATATTGATATAACAACACATATTGATAATATAATCTTATTTTAATTTAATTTATCAGATAAAGAAGAAGCAATTGTGGGATTATCAGTCAGTCATGGCTTAAAATTAGCAAGTGCATGCGGATATCCGGAATATACTAATTTCACTACTGGCTTTAAGGGATGTTTGGATTATATATTTTATGATACAAACAATTTGGAAGTTGAAGAATGCATACCTTTTCCAACAGATGAGCAAGTCAAGCAATATACAGCATTGCCGAATGTGGTTTTTCCATCGGATCATCTAGCATTAGTATCTACTCTAAAGTGGAAATAACTTTTCTCTGTTGCCTTAACTTAATTGTGTACATATTCTATATTAAATTTTTTTAAAATTGGAAAGCTTCTGGTAACTTGTTGTTTTTTGCAACTGGAACATATTGTGTTGCAGTTGTATATAAAAAATTATTCCAGTTAGCGTTATTTTAAATGTTTTAAACTCAAGTCTTGATTAGAGATTATTTTAAGGATCAAATTCTGTTATAAGGATACATAATAACTAAAGTCCAGATTTTTGGGAGCCACACCCACTTGGTTTTTGAAAGGGGCAGAGTGTAAAAAGACAGACTATATTGGTTTTAGTCAGTAGGCCCACTCATTGCCAAATTGTTTAGCACCCAAATGCAAACCTGCTCCAAAACGGTGACTAGCACCCAAACTATATATTTTGCACTCAACTCTCCCCTTTTTTACATTTTCAAAGAATGTGTTGACAATTATTTTTTTTTAGTGGTTTTTATTCATTCACTTGAGGGGAGAAAAACAAATTCGTTAAACCAGACCATGTATGCTGAGGGAAAAAATACAATAATTAGCTTATTCTCTTCTTTTGTTGACAGAAAAGGGGAATTTTCTGGACTAAACAACTACTAAGTATTAGGGTTGTTCTAAGAACATAAACAGATTCACTGAAAATTTGCAACATGTGTTTTTTTTTCTGAGAAAAGAACAATCTAGAAAATCCTGACTTGTGACCACAACATTCCAATTTCCTTTTCCTAATGTCGCCAACACCAAACAATGGCAAAATTGTCCGCATCTAAACTGAACATTTTAGCAAATAAGTTTAAAGATGACGGTGTATGCACAAACAGAAAAGTTTATCACTGTTCTATTTGCAATTATGTGATTTCAGTTGATGTGAAACACCAAGAAACAAAAATCAGGTGACACATGACTAAGTCATTTCTCCAGAAATATATGGAAAATTTATGTACCAGAACCATTTACGGTGTGATCATGTAAAATGATTGATAAACAAATGTTTTTGAACCCCATCTGGGCTCTGCTTCAGGTTCCAAACAGTTTCTAGATAGATGTTGATATCCGTTAAAAATCCATTCGGTCAACATGTCATTTAAAGTTTGAGTTCAAATCATAAGTTCGAATGGATTTATACAACTCAAGTCGCGCATGTGCGACCAGTTCACCCGTTCATGTATGACAGGTGAACTAGAGCATGGATTAGAGCATGTGAATTAACTCTTGCCAGGCCAACAACAACAGCATCTCCTCTTTAAAATTTAGATCCTCCACCTCCATGTTGGAGGTGGAGGATCTAAATATGTGCATAGCTTCCAACCATTTGAGGTGTTCAATGAGAGGCGAATCGTGGAGGAGAATGGCCTGGGAGAAGTTTGCTACTATATCAGGATCGGCTACATATGTAGCGAGGGTCGTGGAAGTTCTTCTGTGTCGAATATCATCTAGATGCTCTTCTATTCTGATGCCCAAAGATCGTTTAGTAGAGCCTATATATATTAGGTTCCTATCATACCTGTTATCCTTCAAAGGGATACTATAGATTCCAGGGCATCTGGTGGGGTTATTTTACCTCTTCATTGAGCTCCCTCCAACATTCTGTGCACTTAGGGACATCCTATTCCATATAGTCGGGGGCCATGCGTTGCACAACCAAGTGCTAGAATTGGCGCACTTAATTTGTTATAATTCGGTATTCCAATTTAACGCCAAGAACTACACACAGAGTAAGGGAGTCCCCGTGGGCAGCCCGGTTTCTGGGGACCTATATGAAATGGTGGTGCAGCAGTTGGAGAACAGGGTACTCCCTCAATACCTCCCCAACATCCAATTATATAGGAGGTATATAGATGACATCATCGTTTTTTGGAAAACAACAACAGATGAGGCAACCTTTGTTGATTCTTTTAACAATAACCCATACGGGCTAACACTAGAAGTAGAGCAATCGAGCCCATCGGAAGTGCACTTTCTGGATATAGGCATCAACACTTTGGTATATCATAAACCTGGATCCACATCATCCTACATTCCTGCCGTATCCTGTGATCCGAACACATATAAGTCTGCAGCCTTTAAAGCATTAATCAGAAGAGCCTTTACACATTCGTCTAACATCCAGGCTTGGGATACCGAACTAGCATACATACTCCGTGTAGCCGCCCAACATGGGTATCACAAGCATATACATAAGCTAATACAACATCAGCAACATATACAGAAAACGCACAGGAATTGGAACAATTCAAGGACAGAGATCCGGAGAGGACATAGAACAAATTGCCATCACATACAATACATACTTAAAATCTTATACACTAAGGTTGCCAGCAAACAGCAGATATGTCTCACTTTTAGGAGGTGTCCTATTATTTTCAACATCTTACGTAATGGAAGGGACCTCTAACCCCATCAGACGCCCTGGAATCTATAGTATCCCTTTGAAGGATAACAGGTCTGATAGAAACCTGATATATATAGACTCCACTAAACGATCTTTGGGCGTCAGAATACAAGAGCATCTAGCTGATATTCAACACAGAAGAACTTCCACGACCCTCGCTACATATGTAGCCGATCATGATATAGTAGCGAACTTCTCCCAGGCCATTCTCCTCCACGATTTGCCTCCCATTGAACACCTCAAATGGTTGGAAGCTATGCACATATTTAGATCCTCCACCTCCAACATGTGCATAAATTTTAAAGAGGAGATACTGTTGTCGTTGGCCTGGCAAGAGTTAATTCACAACATGATCTAATCCATGCTCTAATTCACCTGTCATACATGAATGGGCAAACTGGTCACGCATGCGCAACTTGAGTTGTATAAATCCATTCAAACTTTAAACAACATGTTGACCGAATGGATTTTTAATGGATATCGAACATCTATCTAGAAACTGTTTGGAACCTGAAGCAGAGCCCAGATGGTGTTTGAAAACGTTCATTTATCAATCTTTTTACGTGATCACACCATAAATGGTTCTGGTGCATATATCCGGTGTAATGAATAGTGAATTATCATATATGGGAAAGCTTGTCCCTGACAAGAGCACTCAGAAAAAAACTATGTGAAACCAGTTGATGATCAAACAATATCTAAAATCCTGGACATTATCGGAGACAATCCTGTAGTGTTTATACTGGACGAAACAATGGTACATACTGAATGTTCTTGTTGCACCACCAACAGGATACTATGTACAACTAATGTACCAACTTGAAAATACAAACTCAACTACAGTGTCCCACGCTTTCAATGATGTTTACGTCAAGTTGTGGCCAAATGGTGCCCAGTACGTAAAGGTTTGGCTTGTCATTACAGATCAAGCAGCTTACATGTTGTCAGAATTCTCAAATTTGAAGTGCAGCTACAACAATCTAAAGCATGTGACTTGTCTTGCCCATGCCCTACACTATGTATGTGAATATATTCATGTAGAATATAGCAAGGCCAACAACTTCATTTTGAAAATGAAAATGGTTCTCAAGTACCCTAGTCAGGAGCGCTTGTATCAAGACATAACTGGGCTGCCATTATCACCCAGCCAGTTGTCACCCATTGGGGGTCTTGGATAAACAGTGAGGTATTCTACTGCAAGAACTTTGAGAAAATTAATCCATTTATCAATAAACTTTCTCCTGGTGATTCTGTGGCCATTGACAGTGTCAAGAAACTGGTTGCTGATCCAGTAGTGACCACAGAGCTCTACTCCGTGCATTCGTACAAGTTATTGGTGGATAAAATCAATGAGCTGGAAAGACATGATACTGAAATGCAGGATCAGTGGAATGTTGTAAGTCAGGCACTTGATGTACTGGATAGTTTTGACCTGGACAAACTCAGATCTAGTTTATGAAAAAAATCTCAATTTGAAAAATATTTTGGATTGACTGAAGTAGAATTCTGAGTAAAAATGAAACATGACCCGTTAGTCTTGGTCGACATAGAAAAATCTTTTTCTTATATAAAGATGTTCTATCCTCTAAACAAGAAAATCCACTTTTAAGAACATTGAAATGGTTACTGTGGTAAATTACAATGCTCATCTTTATGTGTAAATTGCAAGAAACAACTATGTAGTTTGTAAATATAATACTTCTTGTTGTTTTTTGTCTTAACAATACAGCATTTAAAAGCATCCAATCCATTCTAAAAATTCACCCAAAAATCTGGACCTTAATAATAACATTTGATTGAAAACTATAAACAGAATAGAATAGATAAATGATAGTTTTAATATAGATAAAGAATAATATATATATACATACATACACACTAGCAGTGACATACCCTACCCAGGAGGGGGCAGTTTTGAGGAAGTGGGGAGGGAGAGAGAGAGATTTCACGACAGATGGCTCTAGTCTACTCATAATATTCATTATTCAAACTGATACTAAATTGATACGTCTGTGCTGTGTGTCAATAACGACACTTTAATTTTCCTTTTAGGGAGGGGCAACTGCCCCTCCCTAAAAGAAAATCTTTGCTATCCTTTGCTGGTGCACATTAGTGTGCAAAACTTACAAACAAAAAAGCAATCATTGCTTAACTCCACAAGAAATCACCTGGGAAACATGGAATACAGAGACAGACTGTTTCTTCTAGCCATATTGCACATATGAACTCACTCAAACTTATAGTGAATGTCTTTAATAGCTGAATACACATCTGCATATCACACTGGGATAATGATAAAATAAGACTCTACAACCAATAACCAGTGTGAAGTACAGTTAAGCAATAAAAAACAACGTAAGATAACCTGAGGAAGAACCCGGAAGGGGTTATGAAAATATTATTATTACTTAACCATACTTTGCACTGGTTGTAGAGTGTCTTATTTTGTCTCAATAGCTATCACCTTTCATCCTTTTTATTGTAGTCTTGAACTGCTTGTGCTGACTGCACATGTTTTGTGTGCCCTCACATCACCTGTGATGTCTTCTACCTGCATGCAAATCACTTTTCTATTGAATTGGGTATTTGTTGTACTGATCACAAGCCCTTTTCTGTAATTTCATGGCTATCTGCTTAAAAAGTACATTGTTGCTTAAGTTTTGCATGCCAGTGTATATATATATATTTGAATTAAAGTAATTTTGTATAGAACCATTTGGTTAAATTTATAAAATGTTTTGGAAAATTGTGATCACTAAATAATTTTATTAATAAAATGAATGCAAATGTATTGATCTTTATACATTCAACAGGAATCAATATACATGGTATCCTAAAAGTAGTTTACAGTTTCAAGCTTTTATATAATGACTTTGAATCTACTGTGATTCAAGTAATATATCAACATTTAAACTATTATTATTTATTTATTTTTCATATATTCTTTATGTATGAAGCACATAATGAATAGTACTGTGCTGATATATCAAACTGAAATTGACATGTTTACAATGTCAACATAAAAATTTTCATTTGCATATCTCTGTCACCTCTACCAGTCCTAATAATAATAAAAAATTTAGCTTGACTCAATCATGTATTCTACACTCCTCAAAAGTGAAATTGCAGGACTGGTAGAGGTGACAGAGATATGCAAATGATTAAGTTTGTATACACATTGGGCCATGTGGTACCCAGTTTTGGGCTAAAAAGACCAGCAGCTGGCTTGATCCATAAATGTTATCAGTGACAGTTTGTAGCAGTTGAACTTTCAAAGAAGTGTAGAAAATGCCTCAGATATGACAGTAGCTGAATACCACCAGTTAATGGCTGGGAAGTGACCATATCCTGGAGCTGCATGATTTATCAATACATGCAGTTGCCATGCATGTTGGGTACGATGCGGGTACCATCCAGTGATGTGGGACATGATGGATGCAAGGATTCACCAAAGAGGAAGTGGATCATGAAAGAGTGCACCAAATGGACCATCAGGACCCATTTGCAACAGCATGTGACATCTGAAGCCACTTGTCATCTTCAACAGATGCATCTGTATTCATCCAAACCATTTGCAACAGGTTGCATGAAGTTGGGCTGCATGTCTGGTGTGGTATCTTTGTCATACAACTGGAGCACCGAATGGCACTGGCTATTATTTATGGATGAATTCTGCTTCTGTTTATGAAGGAATGACTGGTATGGCAATATCCCAGGGATTGCTACATGCCAGCTTTTTACACTGAGCGTTAATATTAGGCCTCCCGATATATGCAGTCAGAATACTGGAAATGGGCACCAGAGCTGTCCATTGATCAAATATTAGGCCTCCCCAAACCATGCACGTAACACTAGATGTTACGTGCATGGTTTGGGGAGGCCTAATATTTGATCAATGGACAGCTCTGGTGCCCATTTCCAGTATTCTGACTGCAGACCAGCATCACACAAATTGTAGATCCTGTGGTTTGGTCACTGGTGCAGGCCATACCTGACAGTGTTTCAGCAAGACAATGCCTGACTGCACATGACATGGCAAACTCACCAGCCTGAACAGAATTCACATTCTTCCCTGGCCAGCAGCTTCACCAGATCTCCCTCCTATTGAATGCTTGAGGGACTTTGTCTGACATGAGGTGCACTGGGGACCACCACCTCATATCATAGATGACATGCACCACAGCTGACATAGCTAGGCAAGGGATACCTCAGGCAACCATTAATTGCTTCATTGGTAGTATGTCTCGGCATATAGCTGCCTGTAGCAGCCTTTTTGTTACTGAATAAACAGATACCTGTTGCATTTGTTCTTTTAATCATTTGCTTGTTTCACCTCTACTGGGGCCCACCAGTGGCCAAGTGGTTCCATTCCCTGAACACTGGGAGTTTGGTCATGGGTTTGTGCCTTGCCAGGATGTGGAGTTTTGCTTTCTCTACATCTGTAATGCCTAAATAGAGGCCAGTTACCCTTAAAAAACCTCCCAGAAGGCATCCCACTAGGCAGATTGCCCAAGTGTTGCATTGCTGTAACAAAACAAACTTACCTCTACAGGTCCTGCAATGTGCATCTCGCTACCTGGCTACACAAATTCTTTCATAGTGTAATACATTTTTAAAGATTGTATTAATATCTCAGGATGGACTCAGGATAAAGATTAAGAAATGAAATATGACATGATAACTTGTATACAAGGGACATTGATCGTTATCGGCACCCTCGGGATTTGACATGCATGCACACCTACGAAGATTGTCTCTGATTCCATCCATGAGCCACTCGTAGGGAGCAATTTTAACTAACGTAAGTTAATTGTTATAAAATATTCTTTACTTTTTAAATATTAAGTTATTTTTATATACATTTCTTCATAAAACTATATTTAATTATAATTTTCTTTAAAAGTATATTCATACAAATTGAAGAATATTTTGTACCAGGTATGTATATCAACCACATTTTATTTCACCAAGTTGTTATTTTATTTATAACTAGCTTACCCGTCGCGCATTGCTGCGATCTCAGAAGAAACGAAATTCAAGCAAACTCGTTATGATAAAATTCAATTTACATTTTATCATTTTTATTGAAACTTATTATTATATTATTATTATTATTCATTTTCATCGGGAAAACATTTCAAAGTGTCGTTTCAATTCTATTTATTTATTGGAATGCTTGTGGATACACGATATTTTTTGTTTTTCCGTCTGGTGCTTATGTTACTGTAAAAGCCCGTATATTGGTAAATCCTAGGTTTTACTTGTAAATCTTCGGATTTACCAACATGAGTTGGTAAATGTAAGGATTTTTATAAAGTAAGATGATTTTCCGGGCTTATACCATTAGAATTTGGTACA